GGGTATTATAATTTCAGTCAGAAGTTTGCAACTCATTGAAGGAGGCACCTCCGACTATATAAAGTATATATATTCTTGATCAGGATCCACAGCCGAGTCGATCTAGCCATGTCCGTCTGTCCGTCTGTGCGTCTGTCCGTCTGTCCTTCTGTCCGTCTGTCCATCTGTCCGTCTGTCCGTTTCTACACAAACTAGTCTCTCAGTTTTGAAGCTATCTGAATGAAACTTTGTAGTTAGTATTCTATATAGTCTCACTCGTATATATGTCGGAACGGGCCGAATCGGACGACTATATCATATAGCTGCCATAGGAATGATCGGAAAATTTTTACAAAAAAATTTTTACTTTTTCAGTTTTCAATAGAATTGGATCAAATTTGAGATATAGTCAATTTACTATACTCTACAATTTTGTGTAAAATTTTATGAAAATCGGACTACTATATCATATAGCTCCCATAGGAACGATCGAGAAATTAATACAATTAAATTTATAACTTTTTCAGTTTTCAGCTGATTTTCAACAAATTTAAGGTATATCCATTTTATATTAGTCTTAAATTTTGTGTCAAATTTCATGAAAATCGGACGACTATATCATATAGGTGCCATACAAACGATCGTTTGATGTAGAGGAAAAATGCAAATCTGTGAATGTAAAACTGCAAATATAATATGTATAGGCGAATGAAATGAAAGCAGGTATTACTTCATTGTTTTTTAACACACATATATATAATTTATATTGTATGGATTCCTATTCATAGAAGTTCTATCTGCAAGGGTATATAAACTTCGGCGTGCCGAAGTTAGCTTTCTTTCTTGTTTAGTTTAAAATTGGTAAAAATATGGGAATTATATATTTGGATTTCGACAGCAAAAACTTTGTGGCATTGTTTAAAATCATTTTTAGAGCTTCGTATATCTACTCGCTATTCCTCTCATATCTTAGTTTTATAAATTAAAATTTTAATAAATCATAAATCATCAACTACCCTTGTGAAATAAATTATAAAATAAATAACAGACGTTGCTTTTGAATCATTCCAAAAGCTCATTGTTTTTGATAGCTCCTCGCTTATACCCCCCTCAATTACAGGGTATCGAGGGCAAGAGCAAAAGACGATTTGTAAGCACTTGCCAAGTACGAGTTACACGTGTGCCTCCGTCGAAATGTACATATGTTTGTAGGTTACACATACACGCAGTACTGCGTATGGCAAATTGCCACAGCGGAAAAGAGCGCCGCATAAAAACAATGAACACATCATAATCATAATTTTTGTAGCCTAATTCCCGGGGCCATTGGGTGAGGGCTCTGCTGATGTGGTGAACTTGGTTCGGTTAGGTCTTTATTCTCGAATGCATTAAATTATTGTGCTCTGGCCTTGGCCGCTGCTCCGGAAAAGTCAATTCGAAATCCGAATCGGTGCTCCGCCGCTGACAGCGAGGGGAAACAGAGTAGAAGATTCTGGGCCAGCAACTCGGTCTTTGCGCTTCGATTACCTTGCATAATGGGCGACGTCGTCTTTTGCATAAGCGCCGAGAATTTGCACAAAAGGCGATGGCAAATAGAAAAGCACTTATTTGCTCTTCAAGCCCACCCAGAGCACCCAGCCCGGGTTGCTGGGCTGTCAAGGCTGTGTAATTGAAGCCGACTTGAAAGTGTTGCTCGGGCTTAGCTTAGCTGGAGGAAGTAAAAGTGCAAATGCGGTGGCCTGGGACTGGGCGGCAGGTGGGGGCAAATATCGATTATTTGGCGACAGGAAAGGCTTCTGGTGAATAAAATATGCACTTTTTTTTTTCTTGTTTTCAATCAAATTTTGAATTACTCCTCCAGCAGCAGCAGCAGAAATCCACAGGCATTATCTACGGGCATAGACTATGGTACCACGGCTCCCTGCTAACATGTTTGCTCCCCGAATTATAATAATCAAATAGAAGCAATGACTGGCAGAAGAGGAGCTAAGAAAGTCCAAGGAGCCGAGGAGAACACATTATGCCAGACAGAGCATGAATGGCCCGAAAGTACGACTCGAACTGAGCCCATTGAAATGGAAGTTGGCACAAAAGACCAGACTCGAAGTTTAGCTAAAAGCCAGATAAATAAATAAACACACCAATATATATACATACAGAAAAAGAGATTTGCGAAATTGTTGTGCTTTTGAATAAATAAATCGTAGAGCAAATAAAGGTGAGCACAGAGAGCAGAGAGCAGACTACAATGAGCCACGATGACGCTGAAGTACCCACAAGTGGGCTGCCGTCGCAGGATTCCATTCGCAAGCACTTGGCCAAGTTTAAGTTGCACACACACACACACACTCCCCAGCTTAGACGACAGTTGTTTGCTTTAAAGCCGTCTAAAAATATGGCAAGCTGGGAGCTGGGAGTTGGATGCTGGGACTTGAATGCTGGGAGTTGGATGCTGGGGAACTGGAACCCCTAGCTCGTCAGTCAAATTAAGGATGTACAGCACGTGTGCTTAGCCCGCTGGCTATTAGGCGACACTCCGGAGCGAGGGAGAGGGAGTAAACTGTGCATAAAACTCAATCAAGTCGAGACAACAACCAGCACACATCAATGGCCTTTACCTACTTGGCTGCTAGGCACACGTAAAAAAATCAAAGGATCCAAAGGTTCCTAGTCAATGTGTGACTTCCTATATATTATCTCGAATATATATATGAAGACGAAAAGAAACTTAAGCCTTTAATTTATACAATAATAGATTAGATATTACTGACTCAGAATCACAACTTACCAAATCTATAAAATTGTTTCTTATTCAGTTCGATTTTCAAGATTTCAAGTGCGTTTTTTTCCGTTGTGTTCCTACCATTTTCCCTGCAGGCATGTCAGGCTCTAATGCAAACTCTGACACGCTCTTGGCCCCCAGCTGCACACGGCAGATCCTGGTCCTGAAGGGGGTGAAGGGGAATCGCCGTGCGAGACAATGGCACAAGCCAGAGTACAGTGTTTTGGCAACAAGGCTCCAGAAATAAAAGGGGACACCAACTGTCGCCCGGCCCCCATGTTTGCCCTTTGGCTGCTCGGGGCCTTTGTGGGGCACCCGGAGAAAGTCAAATAACTTGGGCGAATGTGGAAAGGTCGAAAGAGTTCTGGCTTGGCTCAGCTGTCAGAGCGTGGCCTGGAGCCAGTGATTTCCCATCGCAGGCGTTCTTGAGCCAGTCATGTGGTGATCTGCGATCTGGGACCGGCACTGGTTTATGTCACTTTTATTTAGTTGCAAAGATGTTTAGGGAAATTTAGGGATTTTAAATATGGTGGAAAGATTAAGTAAAGGTATAGAATTTTAACAGGAGTATTATATAAATTAAATAATAGTATATTGAAATGAATATTTTGCTAGAAAAGGGTATTAATCTTTAATTGATGTCGAATATATGTGATTCCCATGCTGGCCAACTGTCCGCTGTGAAAGACAATGCAGTTCGTCGCCAGAAGGACATCCGGTCCGAGTCAGTGGGACATGTGAGCCCTCTTTTGTTGAGTGAAATTGAAAATCCCTTGCTCACATACTAAGCGCTTTTTAATTAGTTTTTCAAGCACACCTAACCCCCATTCAGGAATTGTGGAAATCTCAAATCGAAATGTTCCAATAAATACCCTTACATTGCTTGGTTCAAATTCTGAACGCATGTCGCCGTGGCATCATCAATTTAAAGTTTTTAAGAAATTGTTGAGCTCATTCTCGGCAGCTGCTGCTGTTTAGGCCGAGTAATTGAAAATTATTTCGACAAATGTCGGCCACGTGATTTCCGGCGGCACGTGCTCCACCTTCACTTCCTCGCCGCTGCCACGCCGCCGTCTTCCGGTTCCGCCAACAGCTGCCGAAGCAGAAATTATTGGCAAAGCGTTTAAGCGCAATAAATATGTTTGATTGCTGGCAAGTTGCCCAAAAGATCCCCCGATATCCAAAGATAAACACATATATATATATATAGCTTCCTGCACTCCTGTTCCGCCCACATAGCCAGGTCCTGGCGGAGCGCAAATTTGTAATTCATTTAAACGCGCAACTAAATCGCTTCAAGCTGTTTGCTGTGCACTTTTTGAAAGTCGCGGACTGTAAGTAGTCTACGTGGAGTACATTGCGATAAAATTCAAGGGGAAGTAGATCTTTAAATTTATTTTTAAATTTCAAATTCATGCAATGAAAATATACCTTTCAATTTGCTTTGCATTACATATCTTCTATCTAACCAATTACAACATCTGATTGTAGTTTGATGGTATTTAGAATAGTTTTATATAAGAATGCAAAGGTGTACTTATTATTAATTGATTTCCGTATTTCTCTTTCCCCCTCTTAAACTGCAATTTGTTTCAGTGCAGATTCAGGAACCTCCACAGACGGAATCCCAGTCGAATTACCAACATGGCCAAAGGGGACAGGGTCCTGGAACCGTACTCGGCTAAATCAAACGAAAGCGCAGCTAAAACGCTTTTGTGCACAATTCGATTATTTACGTTTATTCTTTTTAAATGATATTTCCCGTCTGGCCAGCGGGGCTAGAGGACCAATGGACCAATGGAGCAATGGAGCAATGGACAAACGGGTTAGCACATGGTTAGAGCACCAGGCGAAACCAATTATTTGCGGACGGAATGGAGGAAGCCAGCTCGAGGGCAAGCAATTTGTAAGGAAATGAAGCGTAAGCAGAGGAGCCGGAAAATGCGATGCAGTTGAAAGGCGAAAGGGCAAACAAAAGATCAAATTAATAGCCGAACAGCATCGATACTGTTAGAGGCGGGGGTGGGGCGAGGCAAACACAGCTGAATTGGGGCAGGAATTGGGGCAGGGAAGCTGACAGGTATACACCGGCAGGTGTGTGTGTGTAGCAACATCTTGCAATGGGAAAACATTTGAACAGATGCCCATGGAGCTTGCTGGAGTTCTTCAATGGGAGCAGATCTAGCAGATCTTTAGTGGGTATAAAACCCAGGGCACTGCACCTCTGAAGCATCACAACCGCTTTCGGCCTTCCACAAGCAACAGTTTGACCCGAGCCCAACATGTCAGCCAAGTATGCCCTTATCTTCGCCATGGCGGCACTCTGCTGCCTGGTGGCCACCACCGAGGCCGCAGCCCAGCGCAGCCGAGTGCTCAGCTCTCGGCGCGACTCCGAGCTGGTCGCCAAGGAGGAGTCCGATCTGGCCGGCCAGGAGCAGGAGAAGGAGCAGGAGATTGAGCGCCAGGAGCAGGAGGAAGACAGGAATGAGTTGGAGGGACGCAGCGAGGATGGCGCCGTGGACAACAGACAGAGCAAGGACACCACCACCAATGACAAGGACACCATTGTGCGGCCCAACAAGGATGATGCCCGTGCCCGTCGCATCGTTCGCGCCGGTCGCCGCGGTGGTCGTCGTGGTCGTCGTTCAGGTCGCCGAGGAGGACGCCGCGGTGGACGCCGCGCAGGACGCCGCTCTGGCCGCAGGCGTGGTGGACGACGTGGAGGACGTGGTGCTCGCAGGCGCACTTCTATCAAGAGGCGTTCAGGCAAGGGCAACAGGGGTTAAGATCTCCATCCTGTAATAACTAACACCGACCGACTCCGGACTCGAAAAATAAATATGATTTGCTAAAAATATATTTGATGAAAAAATGTGTGCTTTCTTCCGAATTTATTCTCTTAATCTCTTCTAAAGCAATATTGAGGATCTAAGTTAGTTTTTAACATAGCTAACAAGCTACATAGAGCAATCATTTCTAAATAGTGAAGGGACTCTATCTGGTTTTGCAGGGTGTTATAATTTTAGTCTGAAGTTTGATCAGTCTCTCACTTTTTAAGCCCTATATATATATTTATAATATAACTTTTCCAATTACCTGCATATTTTCATCTATTTTGAGATATTGTAATTGTTTAGAACTTCGGTTTATATTTTATAAAAGCCGGACTACTATATCGTATAGCTGCCATAGGAACGTTCAGTAACGTTCAACGTGCCGAAGTTAGCTTCTTGTTTATCGATCACTTTAATGTTTATATTTAATCAAACAATTTTTTTTCATTTTAAAGTCTTTCATAAAGTCATATATTAATTCCGAAGAAAACAAGGAATAAAATAATAGCGCAGAGATTTTTAAAGCGATTGCCATAAAAATCATACAATATCATACAAAATAAATCATATATATACATATATATATATTTTTTTAATTCATATATTAATTTCACATAATAATTATTGTTTGTTTATGACCTGCTGGATTGTTTATGTTTGTTCCGCTTTTTTCTCCATTATAAATCGAACTAAAGCCAAATATTCACAACATTTTTATGTACAATTTAAAAAAAAAGTGACTACAAAAACTACATACTCATTGTGATTGAAAAAATAAACATGGGCTTGTATTTCTTGTTGCATCAGATTTTGTAAATAAATAAATTTTTTTTATTTAGGCTATGAAATTCAAACTGTAACTTTTTCTATGCTTAAAACAAAATAACTTTTTTTTTTAATTTTATTGTATAAAATTCTAACATAGGTTACTTTTTTACGTTCAGGATTGCCACAGAGGTGAACATTTCACATTCTTCACATTTTGCGGTTATATATACATTTGTATATAATAAATAACAACAAGTTGATCAACTTATTTTATAAACTTTCAATAAATTTATAATTTAAAGCTCTGATATCTCCATATTAAATGGAGGAAAAGGCTTACAGAATTTCCTCCCCCTGCTAAAGTTAACTATTTAGCCTAGCTGAGCTTTAAGTCCTTCCTTTATTCCTCAAAACTTTTAACTGCCTGCGAAAAATTCAGAAAGGATGCAGAGTGTCAGGCCTGTTTCACATTCTTCGCTTCGTCCTGTTTCCTTTTCTGAAGGCAGCCTGGCAACGTGACATGTGACAAGAAGTTGCCGCGGCGATGCTGCAACAGCTGCTGTCTCCTGCTGGATAGTGGATGCTGCATGTGATCCTGGGCCCGAAAATGATGAATGTGCCAATGTTGCCGGGCTGTTGCCACATCCTCGGGCTCGGGCTCGGTCTCTAGCGGCCTTTTGGCCGAGCTACACTCTGGCAAACTTCCTTGGCATTGTGCTGCATTCGGTCCAAAGTTTGTGGCCGCCAAGTTCGGGTAAATTCTGGGATTATTAGACAACATTTGGTGCAACACGATGCATCTGGTGGCGTAAACTTTGTCCCAAACCCGACAAGTGACCCCGAACCATGGGTTTGTCCGAGTGTAGAGCGACATGGATAGTGAAGAGTAAATGGTGGATGGTTGATGAGTTCGTCAGCGGGTCGCATTAGGCCACAAATAGTTTGCGGCCTGCAGGAAATTAAACACCAATGTGCGGCACATCAACGCAGTTGATGCACATTTTGACGGGAGTGCTCCATTGTCTGCCAGAGGACGCAGATAATGAGCTATGAGGCGCAGATGATTCGATATCGGCTTTCTTCTTACGTTTAATTAAGCCAGTCTGATGCGAATTGTGCAGTGAGAAGTCTGTAATTTCCTTTGCATCTGCAACATGTGTCCATATAAATTGGAATTCACTAAGCGACTCTGGAGTGGAGACAAAAGTTTGCCCTTTGTCTGAGTTTGTTCGGCAAACAATAGACGGCCATTGTTTGGCTTTTAGCAGCAACAAAAGCCGAAAGAGCCAAACAATTTAGATAGGACAATAAGCCAAAAGGAAATTAAATTGGCTGCTCTACTTTACATACATCTTTTACCCTCCCTCCTGCAGGTCTTTTGCTGCACAAAGAAAGCTGTTTGAAACCAAATTAAATTAAACTTTTAAGCGAATAACGAATAGAGAGTGCCGAGTTCAAATGAGAGCATAATTATTATCATTATTTGTCCACGGACTGGTCTCATTTATAATCCGACTGCCGTACGTGAAACCTGAACAATAGAAGTTCAAAAGTCAGCTGAATACATTTGCTGCAACTGACTTTTGTGGTGTTTCATTTTTGGCTTCCAAATTGGCCTCATTATCGTAATGGATCTTATTACTTGTCTAGTGCCACCCTTACATCAAATATTAAAGACTAAAGCTTGTAATAGAGAATTTAAAAAGGTTAGTTGAGTGTACAATAGAGATAAATTAATTTAACATATACGAGGTTTAAAGCTGAAGTTTATTTGCGATTGAAAACGATCGAACTCTGTGAGTTTCCTTCAGTACCATTCCTTTTGGATTCAACTCTGATTGGATTGGAGAGGAATCATACAGAAATTTTCGTACAAGCCATCCAGGAATTTCCCTACAGTAGGCGTTAGAAAACCTGAATTCGGATTACCCTAGGAATTATCCGGGAATCAGTAAGAAATCTGCCAGGAATTTTTCGTGAATCTCAACACGAATTCACCCCTAAATCAGAAGCGAGCTTCGAACAGGATTATGAACAAAATCTGTAATCGTTGGAGAATTTAGAGCAGAATCAGATAGGACTCTCAAAGAAATACAACGCGGAATAACCAAGGTACATAATATTATATAATTATATACTTAATTATTCTTATAATTATACTTCGTATACTTACTGATCTGCCAGGTCTTGAAATATACTTATCTTATACTCCATAGACCATATAACCCATGACTGCTTTAGGAACTATAGTTTCCAGCGTCTTAAAACTTTAAGCCCAAGAACTACCAACAAGAGGCCCCACAAATTATTCAATATTTAAGAATTCAATATTCTATAAAGACTCTCTGCTCAATTGACTGCCTTGCTTCGAACTTGCCACAAATTCGAGCAAGCCGCAAAGAAGGAAATCTTTTATTCGAAGCCCACGAGAAGGCAAATTTGCCGTTTCTCTTGTATATTAAATACTTTTTGAAGCCGACTCCTGCTTGGGCATACAACTACAGCTGAGGAAATATTGGCAGAGGAGACAGAAAAATGGGAAATCACTTGCCGATTTTCAATTGAGCGGCGGAAATGTAACGGAAATAAATTTACATAAATACAATATGGTGCGTGCTCGTTGGTGCCATTTTATTTGCACAACACACGAGTTTACGTACGAGAGGCAGTGGAATATTGTACCGAGGTGCGTATTGATTTGCGGCATATGCATGTGAAATGTTTTTGCATCGCTCCAAAAAATATATAAAAATGGGAATTTAAAGTGCTGCCCCGCCTTTGTGGCACTTTCGTGCCTCACTTTGTTTAATGCCCGCAAATATTTTCAGCACTTCGTGACCAAATTTTTTGTGGGGCGCACTATCTCGTGTGCAAATAGTGCACACACCTGCCTATCTGCGGAGGTTCAACTGCCATTCGAATGGCGTCAGGTACCTCTTTCTGCATGCAGCCAGCGTTATTTGCATAAGATAAAAGATGAAAGACCGTCCTGAGTTAGGGCTCTCTCTCACCCTGTCCTAGTGCTTACCGGCCAAAATGTCGCAAATGTATTTTCTATAAGAAGCCAAGCAAAAAGCCAGAGTCCCCCAACGAAATGGCGAACAAGGACGACATCAGAGACGATGGCGAAACTGATAAAGACAACACATATCGAGGGGCTACTGGCAGGGGGGTCCTGTCGAAGAGGAGGAGCCAATGGGGCCGCTGTCGCCATTTTGTGGAATTTGCAACTTATATGCATATGTGGTCGAAGAGCTGCCGCGGAGAACAAAGAAACGAGGAAGTCTTGGGACCACCAACGTGCTCTGAAATTACATTTTCCGAGCACGAATACTTCCCACGACCAACTGCACAAAAATGCTCCAAGATTTTTTCGCTGTTCCCACATTCTGTATTTGCTTTCGTTCCACAGAATCGACATTGCGGCACATTGGGCCATCTTCAGATACCTTAACTTAAAGGTAAGCAGATCAATTTAAAGTATATTGATAGATTTGTCTTTATATCTACCAAAAACATAGTTTTATTAGTTTTTAGAGCTCTCTCTCTCTCTCTCTCTCTCTCTCTTATTTAGTGTAAATTGTATTTCAATAGGTTAGAAATTTCTCTGTAAGAGAAGAAAGGATACACTTTATGTCCTTTGAGAAACTAACCATTAAAGGCATAACCAATGTAAACCGTATTGGAAACACTAGTTTCAGAACTCTCTCTCTTATTTAGTGTAAATTGTATTTCAATTAGTTAAGAATTTCTCTGTAAGAGTAGAAAGGATACACCATATGTCCTTTGAGAAATTACCCATTAAACCGTATTGGAAACACTGTGCACTTTAAATGGCATAGAAATCGGTTTAACCACTCGTACGATTGCCGTATTTTACAAATGCATTTGACATAAATTTTAAAGGGCTTAAGTGCCGAAGTCCTTGCCGCGGCCAAGTCCTGTGTCCCGCTGCCTAGATAAGAGCCGAGCGACAAGTGCGGGGCGCTGGCTGTTCCTTTAAATCGAAGCTGCCTGGAGACATACATAAAATAGAGCAATTACGGCAAAGATCATAAATTATGCAAAGCCGGGCAACAAGTGTGCGATAAGCCCAGGCAGGAACCGCTCCTGCCAAGTGGGCCTGAGCCGGAGCTGCAGTTGTAGTGGTGTTGGAGCTTGTCTCACAATCATCACTCACCCGC